TATGTACAAATTTATTAATTGAAATTATGATTGCATTTCTCCAAAAAAAATATAAATTTTTCTTTAGTTGATGCAGTTGTTATTTTGAAAAATTTATCATTTTTATCGGAGAAATGCATTTATAATTTTAATTAAAAATTTTGTACAGTTTTTGTAAGTAATTTACAATATTTTGTATTTTTTTGTTTTATAACTAGCAGCATATATATTTTAAAAATGTTATTTTTATTTCGTGATGTGTATTTTATAATTTATATAATATTTTTTTGTTTTTTATTTATTTATTTATTAAAATAGCAATCAATGTACAATTTAATCTTGTAAGCTCTATTTTAACACAAACGAGAGGAATCGAAAGAAAAAAAAATAAAAAAAATAAATAATAATAATAGAACAAAGAAAAAAGAAAATAAGTGTTTCATTTAAGGATATAATAAAATAAGCATATTTCTTCTTTAAAAAAACCTGCACAAAATGATGAATTTTTCTTTTATAGATGCACTGTAAATTAGTTTTATCGAACATTTTTGGCAATTATCTCATACATTTTTAACAAAAAATTTAAAAGTTAGGTGATTTTTAGTACACGCTAAATATATGCTTTAATAAATGTTAAATATTTTAAATATTATAAACAAAATAATAAATAAATATAATCTTGCAAATAACTTTAATATAGTTTCACAATTTTTAGCTCTTTATTTGGAGATATTTGAAACAAAATTATGTTATTATTATTATCTTATACATTTTCAACAAAAAATGTAAAAGTTAGGTGATTTTTAGTACACGCTAAATACATGCTTTAATAAATGTTAAATATTTTAAATATTATAAACAAAATAATAAATAAATATAATCTTGCAATTAACCAAAACTTTTATATAGTTTCACAATGTTTAGCTCTTTATCTAGAGATATTTAAAACAAAATTATGTTATTATTAAATTATTATTATTTGGCAAGAAAATTGTATTAGCAATGTGTTTCCTAGTGAAAATAGCTTTGGTTTGATATACAATATATATAGAAAAAACACAAAAAAAGTTAATACTTTCTTTTTAACACAACAAACAAATACAGTTTTCCAAAATATCAAAGTCAAACGTAAGGGGTATTTTATGCTAACTTTTTATAAGGTACACATATATTTATTTATAAATAAAAAATTGTTTTATTTATAAAGCCACAAAATTGTAGGGCTAACATAGTTCTGATTGTTAAATAAAAAACAATTTGAAACAAGTAATAATAAAATTATCAAATTTTAAGTAATTATTAAAAGTTCTTCTTCCCATTTTCATCATTTATCACTATGTCCATTACTATATTTCTTCTATCTGGGATTTCATTCGTATGATTTTCAATGTCATTTTTTATCTGTTGTATCAGTTTCGCAAAGTTATGTGTGTTATTTATTAATTTGAAAAATATGAAATTAAACCTATAATCGATTAGGTATGTCCTACATTTATCATATCTATCACAAAAGACGTATGATTGATTGTGTGAGAATACATGTGTTTACACTTGCATCGAGTTGCGCATTTTCAAGGTCACTAAGAAATATAATTATGTATATATATATATATATATATATATATATATAAACATATTTCTTTGTAATATTTATATTTTGCATTCCGATTTTTCAAATATATTTTGTTTATTTTACAACTATACTTATCGATTTTTTACAGTTCATTTGCTAATCACATGGCAATATGGATATATATAACAAAATATGGACCAATTAATATTCTTTTTAACATTTTTTCTCACGGTCATTGAAAATAATTTAATTTTAATAATTAGTATCTTGATTGAAAATAATTTTTTTCAATTGAAAAATTATTGATTTATAATTTTTTAAATTTATAAAATTAATTTTATCATAATTTAGATTTTTACAACAATTTTTTTTCTGTTTTTGAATATCGTTCCAAAAGTAATGAAAAAATAAAAACTATCGTTTTTAGAGAAATTGACTTAACTTTTTTATATTACAACCAGACTATTGCTGTAAAAGTAATTTTTTGTAGTATAAATAAATTTGCAGATGGTGATATATACAAAAAAAAAACAAAAAAGCTTTTTAACAGGCATCCATCCACATATTAAAAAGAAAAACGAAAGTATTTAATAAAAAAAATGAAACTTGTTTGTTTCATACATTTCGAAAAGGTCGTTGGTTCCATTTTATTTTTTTTCTGACAATCAGTTTATGTTTTTAAATTAAATTTATAATTATTTCATCAAATAATTTGTGTGAAAAACAGCCAAACTGGGGCTCAAAACGTATGAAAGTCTACCTGAGAATTTTTAAGAACATAATTTAGTTCTTTCTTTTTAGTTCAGTTTCATTTTGGTTATCTATTTATTAGGGCATTAAATACGTATAATAATAGGATTTTACAGACTTTCTCATCCAATTAGTTTTGTGTATAGTTTTGACTCACCTCAGAGCAATGACCAAAAAACATAAAAATAATATAAATATAACACTTTGACAAAAAACAATTCTAAAAATAATCATCAAATACAAGAAAAGTGTGCTATAAATAATAGACATGATTATAATTTAAGTAGAGACACATAGTAAAGCTCCAAAGTTTATTAGATATTTCTAAATTTCCTAAATCTGTTTTCAGAGCAATAACAAAAAAAAAAATCTAAATATAAAGATAATATAAATATAACACTTTGACAGAAAATTGTTTTAAAAATAGTAGTAAATAAATAAAATAGTAATTTTTTAAAAATAATAACAAATAGATTTAAGTAGAAGCAAAAGCTTTAAAGTAAGTTGAGTAGATTTAGTAAAGCTCTAAAGAAAGTTTAGTAGATGTTTCGAAAGTACCTAAATTTGTTTTTATTTACTAACTGGGTGGATGGATTCCTCAAGAAGGTTTATTTTTTACTTTAAATACCTCTGAAGTACCTTAATTAGTTTTTATTTTATAAATAATCAATCTCTATATTTTTAAATATAAGATTTTGCCTTATATTCAAGTTTGCCAATTCTCTGGTAAAATAGACTTTAACCTAGCGTTATCATGGCAATGTTATGTTACGCTCTTTTCTTCATATAAAATGGCACTAAAAATGCTATTTGTTGTGTAATCTGGCGTTTGTACGTGAATTTTAACTTCATGTATGTGTTATAAATGCACATAAGATAGATGCAGTTTCGATAACATTCTTTTCTTAATTTGAGCGTTTTCTGGGTTAGGATTTATATGTAAAACGCATTAATGCACAAAAAATACCTAGCAGTTTGACAGTTTTTACTACCAAGAAAGCAGTGTGACTTAGGGTTGCCATAACACCATGTTACGGTCTATTGCACCGGAGAATTGGACTATAATTATATTTGAAAATTATGTAGAGACAATTTTGTATTCAAGTTGAACATAACAAAATACTTTTTAATTTTATGCATATTTTTTTCTTATTTTTTTATTCTCACATCTTAACAGCAATCATAACCTTACGTCCTATAGGCTGTTGGGCTGAAACTTCTCCTTACTTCGTATTTTTAGATGGCAACCCATTGGTTAATCCATCCATATTTGATGATTTTGTTATTAGAATTTATCTAAAAGGGCTGACTTTTTTATTGGTGCAGCAATGCCGGGTGAGGACTATTTTCACTTGAAAACATATTGCTATCTATATTTCCAAGTGCAAATCGTTGTCACTGCTGCTTGACAACAGACTGCTCGAAGTGGGTATCGAAGCCGGGACCTCTGAATCATGTCTCATCACTTTTAACCGCTACGGGCTAGCCCTTAATTTTATGTGTAGAATTTTCAATATATAACTAATTGATTAAACTAATATTTTAAAAAAATATTTATTGTGATTATGTTGAAATTTGTATGCACACTTACAGGATTTGGAGTTTATTTTTTCCTAAAAAAAACTAGTTAAAATTCTAGGAAAGTAGTACATGTACTTGCGCCTAATCCTTCATGGTAAACCGTTTATAGTATTTTCAAGAAAAAATATTATTAATTGTAGAGCTTTGCAGTTATGAATACATACACACCATATCATAATGTTCTCATTTTGGATACTCATATATATATATATATATATATATATATATATGTGTATATATATATATATATATATATATATGTGTGTATATATATATATATATATATATATATATATAATATAACAGAACATTCTATACTATATTTATATTTCAATCAGTACGACAATAAGTCCATAATCTTTTGCACAAAGTATTTAATCTAATTATCACAGCACATATTCTAAACGTTTCGAGCAAAATACCATCATCTTCAGTTAATTTTCATAAATAAATGTTATATATTCCCACATACTCATATTCGACGAGTGTATGTGCATACAAATGTAACCAGATAGATATATTCTGGCTCGTTGGAAGCGAATAGTATACTCTGAGAAACAGAGGAAGGCGCATGTGGGAACGAGATAGATTTCATTTGACGTTTAAAGAGTTAATTGTGTGTTTTCTGAGAAGCGCCCAGTATCCAATGAGATTCCGATCGGACGCGTGTGCTCAGGAACAGAATCAATCTAATAATAACAACAACAATAATAATTGAATCATTTTAATCGTAATTCGGTGGCAAAACGAAATTATTCGCTCCTTCTGCAAATGTGCTAATTTTTCCTAAGTGCTCTTGACAATCGATCGACGCGTGCTAGCATTCTTCCAACAAAAATGTGTATTGTTCATTTAAAATCATTGTTCTCCTTATAACAATACCCGCAACCAACTTCCTCCTACTGACTTACATTAATAATGCAAATAATCTAACAACACAATTTGTCCATCTGACATCTCCGTTTTCCTCCGTTGTTTATACCATGAAACACGTGTCCCTCTAACTCCTTACCTTTTTGTGCAACGCGGTGTAAATGTGTTTACATTGTTGCGAAAGTCTGTGTTACTCAAACTGTCCATCAATGCGTGTCTGTTTTGATATACCGTGGTGCTTTAGGTCTACGCCGCGGCCCACGGTTGCGGAACCGAACCGGCAACGCATGGATACCACCGCCGAGGTGTTGCAGAATGACCATGTCCTCCAAGCAGCCACAGAGACGAAAAATCTACCCCTCCAGGACCAAGTTCAAGGGTTGCAGATCAACTACAACCCCATGAGCCAGAACAATAACTTAAATTCACCTAATTCCAATATACCCAGCAGATTGCCATCTCTGCAGGAGGTGGTGATTGTCCAAGATGGTCGACAGGGTAAAGGTGATTTTGATTTTAGTGGTAATAATAACCCAGTGCATGATGTGGCGACCATAGAAACCATGGTGGTCGAGCCTTTGAGGATGGCTCTGGCGGAAAGGGAGAAGAAAATAAGGTCTTTGGAGTCGGAAATAGCTCAATTGAAATCGCAGCTGGACAAATTCCAAAGTGTGTTTCCATTCCGCGTCCAGACTCCTGGGGTCAGGGGACCTCCTACTCAAAGGCAGAGGGCTCAGGGTATATCTGCTGAACCTCAGAGCGAAAGTGCTGTCTTGGCTGCCGGAAAGAGGAGCTTTCCTAAGGTGGAGAAAGATGAAAGGTTAGTGACTCTTATATTATTTCATGTTTTTTTTCATATTTTTGTCATATATAAGATCTTGATAAAACGAACTTTACACCTGCTATTCTCAGAACCAAAAACAAACTCTGTACCGCAATGTATAGTACGGCTGCAGGATATGCTAAAACTAGAAGTTTATAAAGTAAATATTTGTCTAGCTTTATCCAAAAGCATCACACTATTTTAATCAAGTCTCTTGTGAAACTTCGTAAAAATATAATTACTTAATATTGCATCCAAAACTTGGTTCGAAATTTTACAACCACTTGCTTTATTCAGCACAATCACAAATTCGTGTTAAATACTAATTAGCATTCTGGTATATTGTCTTTCGCCATATATGTAATATATTAGAACATACTATCTTTACTCATTTGTGAAAAAAGATTTTTTAAAGTTTATTTTATTATCGTTTCCGATCCAATAAAAATAAATTTCAAGATAATACTCCACCTTAACATTGTAAAAATAAGCACTTTGATACAAATACTATAAACTTCCTAACGATACTCATAAAAACTAGTTATTACTCTATAAATTATACTCTTTTAATAGACCTTTTAAAATGTAGAAATGATGTTGGATTCGACGTTTACAGGATACTGAATCCGAATAGAATAATAAATATGTTTTTAAGTGTTTGTTCTCGAAAATTTATAGAAATTTACGGTTGTCCACAATCTGTGGAACATTTTATGTCCCTAGAAAAATTGAAGATGGTAAGAGATATTAAATTTATTAAATTAAGGTTTGGATTTATATTGCAAACAGTTTTCGGTAACAAACTAGTTTTATGAAAACAATAATTGAGTTTAATGAATAACACTAATTCACATTGTGAATTAGTTATATCTAATGATTACAATATTAGCTTCTTTGTTGAAAAACTTAGTCAGATCCTTATTTGACAAAAATTTTGTTCTCAACATTTTATTTAAATTAAAGCAATTATTTACTAATTCTACATTCTTTTAAAAGGTGATTAGGAACAACTTTATTAACATTATTTTTTGAATAGCGGTCCGTTTAAGGATAAACATATATCATAATTAGATTTTTTTATTTAAAAAGTCATTGATATATCCATATATCATCCATATGACCGTTATGAATATCTTTAAAATGCAATTTAAAAAGAAATTGAAAGTTGCAAAAATTCAATTCAATTTGGGAGCTTATTTATAGCTGAAGTAATGAGAGCTTTGGCTTTGGAACCACAAGGTTTATGGTTTAATTTCTAACCTGATATCAATGTGTAGAATATACATTTTTATTTGAAAATATATATGTATATATATATATATATATATATATATATATATATGTTTACTTTTGACTTGGTATGCAAGTACATTAGTACATTTTATAAGTTAACTTTACAATTTAACTGTAGTAGATTGTATATAATAATATAGCGCCCCATATATTCTTTTTTATCACCAATGTTATAAAATTAGCTGGGAGGGAGATTTTTTGCCTTACTATCTCCCTCCATAATTCTTGCCTACCCTTTTCCCATTTTTTGCACTCCATAATGGCGTGCTCTGCATCCGCCCTAGTCACTCCACCCAAGCAATAGTTACAAAGATTTTTAAACAGTCATTGACAGATTATTATAAAGATTTTTAAACAGTCATTGACTTAAATGCTGTCGAATTCCCCATACTTTTATATTTTACCTTTGTCGCTTATCATTATCGGCGGTGACAATTAAGTCGCGATTGCATCTTATCACAATGAATGTTATTTTTGTCATCTTTATCAAAACCAATACTATCGACGTAGATAATTGACAATCGTTTGCTATTAAGTAAAATATTTTGATAAAGTTTACAGTGAAATCCAAAAATCTGAAGATAACAGATTTTTAAAAACATACCTACGTAAGATACAATGTTATAGATATTTATATAATACATACAGTAGAAAATTATTTTTCGTGAAAAATAATCAGAACTGTTCTATATTTCTATTATGATTATAATTATTATAATTTTCAATTCTATATTATTTTTTATGTATTCAACAAGCTGTTGTGATATAATTCTTTACAACCTAAAAGATTATTAAAGATGATTATAAATGGCAACCAAATGCAGCAATTTCTTGCAAGACTATTTTTTGACTATTATTTCTTTCATATATTATTCAGATTAAGATTTTCATATAAAAACTTACATTACTATAGAACTTAATATCAGATTGTTTGAGAAGGAAATTGAACCAGGAACCTTGTGGTTCTGAAGTCAAAGCTCTTATTACTTCAGCCATAAATAAGCTATCAAATTGAATTGAATTTTTGCATATTTTCAATTTGTTTCTAGTTCCCATTTTGAAGATTTTTGTAACAGTCATTTAAAAATTTGTTTCTTTTTTACAATTCTGGCAACCAAATGCAGCAATTTCTGTAAGACTATTTTCTGACTATTATTTCTTTGATATATTATTCAGAATTTATATGAAAATTTATATCACCACACTTTGATATCAAATTGTTTGAAGCAGGAATTGAACCAGGAACCTTGTGGTTTCAATGCTAAAGCTCTCACTACTTCAGTCATAAATAAGCTCCCAAATTGAATTTAATTTTGCAGCTTTCAATCTTTTTTAGTTCGAATTTTAAAGATTTTTGTAACAATTACTCCAAAATTGTTGCTAATTCTGGCAACCAAATGCAGCAATATCTCGTAAAGCTATTTTCTGATTATTGAGATATTATTTAGACCTAGATTTTCATATGAAAATTTATATTACTACATCTTGATATCAGGTTGTTTGAGGCAGGAATTGAAACAGGAATTTAATTAATAGGCTCCCAAATTGAATTGAATTTTTGCATATTTTCATATTTTTTTAGTTTGCATTCTAAAGATTTTTTTATGTTTTTTTTATACAATTCTGTAAATATTTATGATACTTGTATTTTGCAGAATTTAAAAAATAAAAATTTTAAATGTCTCAATATAAAATACATTCTTTAGAAATGTTCTGAATTAAATAGGATAGTAAAAAAAAATATGTGAACGATTTAAATAACATAAATGTTAGCATTTTATTTAAAACCATACTTTTGCAAGTCAAGGAATTTCTTGAAATATAATAATTATATAAAACTTTACAATAACAAGCATATATATATGGTCATATCAGAGAACCTAAAGGGCAAGTTTTATTTTTTTATATTTTAAAACATTCTGAATCGTTTGACACTTTCTTATTTCTGGCAAGTCATGATCATGGAATAGAAAACATGAAAATGAATTAATTATTTTTATAAACACCATAAAAATTTCCTGCCAAAAATCGTGATAATGATATATGGATTATTATCATCAATAGATTAGGTGATAAATAGATAATAGATAAATATTGACATATGAAGTTAGTCTCTATGAAAACAATATCGATGACGAATAAAAGTAAAAAAAACTTCATTTTAAAAGTAAGATAATCAGTAAAAAATATAAGAACGACATCTTGCTATTTATCTAACTTATTTTTTATGATTTTTTAATGATTCTAAAATAGAATAGATAGATTCTGTTTTTTATATTTTTATTTTATTAACTGGCCTCGACTCAGTTAGTCATTTAGGCATTATAAATTACAATACAAATATAAATACAAATTGAGAAAGAAAATTAAAAATAACAATACAGATATAGGTTACTTGCATTAAATAAACTTAAAAATATTTTACCCTTAGATAGATTAATTTCGAACATAAATTTTTACTGATTATAATGAAATAATTGTCCATGAGCCCTAATTTTTCATAGTTAATATAGGAACATTGATATAGGAAATTTGTACAAATATGAACCTTAATTTTCCTAAATTGATTGTGCTTATTACTATGATTCTTGTTATAAAATCACCAATATTCAGTTTTATGGATTTTCGACTACTAGCTACAATTTACTATAAACTGTCTTGGTTTTCATCTAATGTTTTTAAGATTATTTTAATTTTATACCAAATTAACTTGCAAATTTTTCTTACTAATTAGCTTATCGGTGACGGATTTAAAAAAATCTTATCTAATGATTACTAGTGGATTATTTATTTATACACTTGTTACAGTGATGTTTTTTAATTCCATATATGTACAATATTTATCAGAGGTTATTAGGCCAATGGAATTTTTTCACGGTATTTTGTTTATATATTAGATAAGGTAGTAAGGAAATATGCCCAAACCATGATTTTTCAGCTACTCGAAATTTTACATAACAATTGTTAAAATTTAAAATATTTGAAAAGACGTGGAGAGAACCATGATCTTTAATCTTAATACTTTAGCAAAGAATCGGAAATAAATCAAGTTTATATGTAATACATTTTTATGATAATTATTAATTGTAACTGATTGTAAAATGCCAAATTAAAATTTGGCTGCTTTAATGTATGTTTTAAAATTTGTCTAATTATATTTCTATGGAACTAAAGCAACTTCTCGGTATAAAGACTTGGATATTAGTCTTCTCGTAGTTTTTGATGTTGCCTTGGCTATATTATTATTAATTTATATGAAAAATTTCCATATAATTTTAAAATTTCTATAAGCCATTCAATAAACATATCAAAGATAAAATTTGGTTAGTTTCATGAAAACCAATGTATCTATTTTATAATTGACGGTTTTATAAATTAAAATTTAATTTGAATGTTTTCTCAAACTTGTATTCATTAGAGGTTGTTTAATTTTTTGTTGTATGTATTTGTTAAAAATATGTTTTTATAGATTTTTGAATACTCTGAATCAGTTTCTAGTTAACTAAAAATTATCATTCTAATTCTCTTTGAAGAAAAGGAATCTGTTTTAAAATTAAATTTTAAAAAATCAAATTATTTCTACGTTTTTACCCTCTGGAATAGAATCTTGGATATTTTTCTTGCAGTTTCTGATTTTACATTGGTTATATTATTTTTTTAAATCTTCCATACCGTTTCAAGTATTCTATAGACATTTAATAAACATATCCATGATTTTCGTATTGAATTTCTTGATTTTTATGAAAACAACAAATAAATATATCTTCTTCATAATTACTATTTTCACTATTTAAGAAATTTTTTAAAATTGCTTCAAAGGTTGTCTTAAATGGTGATTAGAGGTTGTTAAGTTTGTTTAACGTATGCATTTGTTATAAACATACATTATAGATTTTTAAACATTATAGATCAGTTTCTAGTTAAGTAATTGAAATTATCAATATCAATATTTTCAAATATCAATTAAATTAACCTACTTGCGGAAAATTCAAAACCTTTGTTGGATCAATGGATGATTGTTAAATCCTACTTCAAGAAAAGTACTGGTTAATTTATTTCTGGTTCCTTTGGATACTTAGTATTTTTTTATTCTACTATATTTTTTTATTTTCATTTTTTTATTATTTTAAACAGCGATCAGAACTTAACACTAAACTATACTTAAGTGGTTCGGCAGATGGCAACCCACACATTTGCCTCATCCCTGAATGATTATTACAATATCTGAACCAGGACTATTTTCACTTGGAATCATATTGCTATCTATATTTTCATATAAATATCTTTGTCACTACTGCTTAACAACAAGCTGCACGAAGCAGGATCGAACCCGGGATCTCGATGATTCATAACCTTCTTAATATAAAATCTACAACCTATATTATTTTCACCTTATTCATGTATTTCCACCATTTGTTGCATATCTATAAAATAACTCAAATAACTCTGGCTCCTTACCATTTCCGAACCCATAACTGTTAACACATGTTTAGTTCATCAATACCATCGACAACTAAATCATTTTATTATGGCATAAAATATAAACAAAATCAGTATTTCCCGCATGCGGCCATATGACTCTATATTGAATCAATAAACAATTAATAACCGAGAATAACCACAAAATGCAATTATACGGTTAACTTGGAACGATTATTTACACGTCGAGATAAACTAATCGAGAGTATAGAAGTTGTTTTGGCAATGGGTCATCCTCTAAAATTAAACGATATCGGCTGAGCCGAAATGCATTGTGAGAGTACGTTTGACGCGAGCCAGTTGTCTATGGGAAGTGCCTTAGATTTAAGTATCTGGTAATGGAACCTTGTCTCAACATATTGACTGCCAGATGCAGTTTTTTATGACTTCTCCAAGACACCAATATGAAATCTGCATTCATATATTATATTTAGATATGTATACTGATGTAATTGTCATTCGCTTAACATTTTGCCTGCAAAACGTTTGTTTTTGGTGCATCTTTCAAGGTGCGAATTGATTTACATGACTTCATTTATACTTAAGACTCTTAACATTATTTTTGTACCACATTCAGAACTAATTGTGGTACCATTTCCCAGTTAACTAATTATAAATGCACTAGCTGGCATACCTTGTGTTGCCATATAAAATATTTCTAGTATAAAATGTTTTAGTATAATAATAACTAATGGTAGCAAATTTGGTACATAAGGTGCAGTTAACAAATGTATGTGTTCAGGGGGCTATAGCTATGGAATTCCTTAAAAACGTTTACGGATGTGAATGCTATAGCATTCATTTTCATTGTGTGGCAGAATGACATGAATACTATAGCAATTCAAAGTTTCGAACTTATATATAGATATTACAAATTTTATATAGATATTGTTTTCCTTGTTCGCTACTCCTATTTTATGTTTTTTTTATTAGAGGGTAGCCCATAGTTGTCCTTTCTATAATAGAGTTAATTTTATCTTGTCAATTAATATCTGATATATTTTTTCTACAAT